GGCTGCCCAATTGCCTATTCTAATCTTAAACACTTACCAATTAATGAGGAGCTTGGGTTGTTGCAGAGCTAAACACTAATATTTTCAAAACGTTAGCAGGGATAAACCAAGCATGACGTCGGCAGATCTTGGCCAGGGTAGGCAAATCTCCAGTTTACTTTAATCCCTTCATTCAAAAATCCAAGAGAGTTCTGGGTTACTGTCACCACAGTAGGTTTGCAAAAAAATAATAAAACAAATAAGCCAAAATATGACTTTATTATATAAATATGTTTGCAATGTTTTGATCCAATGAGCCACTTTTGTGTTTGTCTACCCCTCCCACAGCAGAATTAGACATGTCACTTTGTTTCAATCAAGAGTGAGGAATACACATGTTAAACTTAGTTGAATGTGTAACTATATAAATATATAGAAAGTTTTTGCTCTGCATTAACACACAACATAAAAACAGATTTTTTTATATATATTACAGTTTTGTTGTTTTATTAAAGACGGATTTGTTTGCCTTCTTTTGGGATGGTTTTTGCTTCTGCAGTTATATTTACAATGCTCTAGAGGGGGCTCTATATAAATAAAAGCAAAATGTTAGGCCACATTTCAGAATTCAAGCATGTATTCCTATGAATAGAGGAAACATGTTTAGGTTTATTGAAAATACATTTATTTATATGTATATTTTGGGATTAAAAATCCCGTACATTATGTCAAATATTGTGTGTTATTGTGTGTAACCCCCCTCATTGATTCTCTTAAAGTGGATCTGTTGTATTTTTATAATACATGGTGCTTACTCACTATTAAAGTGGGAATTGTGATGGTTGGTTGAGAACACATGGCTAATCTGCCCAATGTTCTCAGTCTATCACTGCTCTTCAAGTTGTAGAGAACAGAAATAGAAGTGAAAATTTTGAGTTATCAAGTATACTGAGGGGTCATCTCTGGGTGCCACTCTGAAAGTGTACAACAAACAAATGGGGGAGAGCATCCTTAAACTCTTACTACACAGTCACTACAATGTTTAGGTTGCTTAGAGTGCAGAAACCGCAAATGAACCTTAATAAAGCTTATTGATTTAATTATTATTTGCGGTTATACAACTATAGTTATATTAGAGAGGAAGTAAAGGGAGAGAGAGAGAGAATAAAAATGACATGTACAGACTTACCTGGTTACCTACTTATTTATGTGTTCTGTAGTTATGGTACATATAAAGTGTTAAGTGAAATCGTAGTACTTTGCACACCTAATTAACATCAATCAAAATGAACAGCATAAAACACAGAATCAGAGTATGTGACAGGTATCACCAATGTCGCCTTATTTGCCATGGAAAGGCACCTTGAGTACCATGCATGGAACACATGCCATAGGTTGCTGACCCCTGATTTAGTGGTATCTTTTGTAAACTTGATGTGTGTTACTGTAATAAAAATAACTAAATTCTGCAAAGCTTTATCTCCTTAGTACAGAATGAATAACGTGCCCATGTCAGTTTTTTAAAATTTTTTAAAATGTTTATTTTTGCTGTGCATAAGATTCCAAACAGGCTTGTCTTGCCCCAACAGCGGATAGCAAGCTATTCAAGCTTCAAATGTTATATGATGTAAGACATTTAAAGAAACATGCACAATTTTCATAGTTACAGGACAGGCAAAATAACAGGTAGAGTATAAGAATAGGAGAAAGTATTATTTGGTGTTAACAGGCTAGAGAAGCATAGTTACTTGCTTCAAATAGGTAGGGTACATTGGGGTATGGCCCACCAGTCCAGAGGGTAGGAGATAGCGGCTTGAGTATCTGGATTCAGAGGGAGGAAAGTGTCCATCTTTCCTCCATTCCGTCTCCAGTAGGCCGCAGCCGTTTTTGGTGCCTCAAGGCGTCGAATCTAGTGTCAAAAGGTTGATTAAGGAGCCCCCAGCATGGGAGTCACCTTAGGTCGAGGTTTCCAACTCTGTAGTCCGTGATATCACAGGGTAAACCGTTTTGGCAGAAGGAGCTCATGTAAGACACATCTTGCAGGTCAGGCTCCACCCACCCGTTGCAGTTTTTGAAAAACAAAGCAATGGCAATGTTCTGAAATGGTCTGTGGTTCATTTTGGGGCATTTTAGCTTACTCCATACATGCAGAAACCTGGGCACAAATGTGTTTCAGGTGGAACCAATTACGCAAATTCATTTTAAACTACAATCAAATGAATGCCTCCATCCGCTCTGTTTGCTGTGAATTGTACATTTGCTGCAGTGTAATAATAAAAAAAGTGTAATAAGTGTAAAAAAAGTGTAACAATTTTCCTCTAAATCATATTGAGAAAAGGTGTCACAATCTAGTTTAAATACCGCCTGAAGCCACGATCACTCACAGGGATCAGTGCTGGGCAGCATGCATAGCCCAGCGCGGACCACCCACTGCAGCCACTGCTGCAGGGAGATGTAGTCGGCACTTGAACATGGCTGAACTCATAAGTTCAGCCATTCTGATTTAAAAGGCTGTAGGTAGCACTGACAGAGTTTCATACAGATCATCAGTCAGTGTGGGGCCACTAATTCTGAACCCAGCTGACAGAGAGGAGTCCCAGGTATGAAGCGATACATGAGATTCACCAGTAACCAGCAAGGAAATGGTCCCTGCTGGTAAAATACAGCATGGTGGAATTATTACATCACAGGTCCTTAAAGGCAGGACATCTAGGATGATATAATTCCATCATTGGTCATTAAAGGGTTAAACAGCAATTATTTGTTTAATTTATTTATAAAGGGTATAACCAGAAATATTACACTGCAATTTCTATCATTTTAAATTATGCCCTTGCGAGAAAATAAAAAGTTATCTAAATAGGGTATGTAAATTGGCAGAAATTCACTGGGTGTGTTAGATAATGATGACCACATAAAGGCGGGAGTTTTAAATACTTTTCTTCTTCAGTTTATAGCAAAGAAGCACAACAAGGACAGTGAATATGCAATAAACTTACAGCAAACGTGATTGGCTGACACAGGAAAAGTGCTAGAGCAATTAGCATTAAGCTAAATAAAGCCCCAAGGACAGATGGTGTTCACCATCAGGTACTTAGGAAGCTTAATTCAGTATAAGCCAGACCACTGTGTTTAGATTTCCAGGATTCCTTCCAGATATTGTTCTACAGGACTAGTGCAAAGTAGGTATTTTGCCTGTATTTAAAAGGAAATTAAAATAAACTGGAAATTGCAGTCTTGTGTGGAGAACTTTATTTGAAGGAAAAAAATATTTGAAGGGTTATTAAAGCATAATATCTTAAACAACATCATCTTGAATAACATTGTAATCAGTAGGCTTCTGTACTATTACATAAAATTTGAAAGCAGTTGGGTTAAAAGAAAACACTTGGATTAGTAATTGGCTAAAATATGCAGTAAAGAAAGCAGCAATAGTAAAATTGTCATGTTAAAACAAAAGTAGGAAGTGGAACACCTCCGGATTCTGTTCTGTTTGTTTTTATCCTGTTTATTAATGGTTTTGTATTTGGCATTGAAATGCACATGTCATTTGTAGAGGGTAAAGATCTAGATAAGGTAATCTGAGCAAAAAGCGTTTTCTTTACAGTGCTTTAGATGCATTTGCAAACAAGTAGCAGTTGAGATTAAATGCAGGCAAATGCAAATTTATACATTTTGTATAACGACTAATAAAGCAGAGGTACACGTTTAAATATCTCAGACAGGATATGGAAACAGCAGTAAAACAGCTTTAAGTTAACCTGTTTATTAAAGAAATACTCTACTGGAAATTTTATGATAAAAAAACCAAACAAATCAATTAAAAAAATAGATATGGCTCCAAAGAAAAGATACAGGTATTTAAAAAAAAAAAACAAAAAAAAACCTTAGCTTGCAAAAGTTCCATACCTGTTGTCTGCAGTCTTTGCAGGCCTTCCCGTCTTTCCGTGACACACACTTTCAATCGGTGTTGGGGAATACTCCAATCAGAGGCTTTGTATATTCAAGCAATTGTGGCTTTCCTATCATTTCCAGTTAAAGGGACACTTAAAGGAAAACTCCAGTGCCAGGAAAACAATCTGTTTTCCTGGCACTGCAGGTACCCCTCTCCCTCCCACCTCCCATCCCAGGTAGCTGAAGGTGTGAAAACCCCTTCAGGTCACTTACCTGAGACCCCGCCGAGCTTTTGGGTCGGCGTCGCTCCTCCCAGTAATCACGTCAACCGGTGGGCGAGACTGATCCCGCCCGCCTGCTGAGGAAACCTAATGCGCATTAGATCTCCCCATAGGAAAGCATTGAAAAAAGATTTTCAATGTTTTCCTATGGGGAATTGAGCGACGCTGGAGGACCTCACACAGCGTGACAACGTCCAGCGATGCTCTAGCAAAGAAAATCTTTGCTATGAATCAGTAAGTGCCCTTTAGTGCCCTCTAGTAGACAGCCACTAGAGGTGGAGTTAACCCTGCAATGTAATTATTGCAGTTTATAAAAAGGAGTAGTGGGAGTTGGCACCCAGACCACTCCAATGGGCAGAAGTGGTCTGAGTGCCTGGAGTGTCCCTTTAACGGTTTCCTCTATCTTTTTAGTTTGGCAATGTAAGGCAATGTTTTTATTGCAAAGTTAAACACACCTCTAGTGTCTGTCTTCAAGATGACCGTCACTGATTGAGTTGTGGTGCTGGAAAAAGAATAAGGAAAAACCTTTTTTTCCTTCAAAATTTAAAGAAACACTATATGGTAAGGAACACACACAACGTGTATTCCTGACCCTATAGTGTTAAAAACACAGTTTAGCCACCTGGTCGCCCCATGTCCCCCTTAAACACAGTAAAAACTCACCTTATTTCCAGTGACGCACAGGTCCGCGGGAGCTTGCTCCTCCTACGATCTGCCTCCTTGGCTGATATCATCAGAATAAATAAATGAAATTCCACATTAGCTTGGCTCACTACATTGATTTGCCAGCATACCAAAGAAAATAGTTCAAACTAGAGCTGGAGAATCAAAAACATACTACATACTAAATAAGCATTTCCCTGATGAAGGCATAGTGCTACATGCTGAAACATGCATCAGGCTTGTCCTTTGTGTATTTTCTTTTTGTCACTTTGGGTAGAACATCTTCTTTAGTATGTAGTAGTATGTTTTTTTTTTTTTTTTAATTCTTTATTTTTCTTGTGCAAGGATTAACAACAAGCGTGCAGGGCCACAACAGCCTCCACAGGCATTTTCATAACTTTACAAAGTGTGGCAGTGTAGACAGCACATTTTTTGTATAACACGAAGATAACAGGCTATTAGACATCAGTATTTTATAAAATAACATGTTAGGCTAGATAACCATGTGACAAAGCTAGTTGCTCTTAAGATTGTGAGTGTGTAACGGTGCATTGGTAATAATGGGAGCATTTTGCTTAAGGCACTGGCTGCACGTTTTTAAATGTAAAAATAAATCAACATTTTCACTTCTAGTTTTAAACAAGCTTGGGTTGCCAGGTAGGGCTAGTAAGTAAAATAATGTGTGAGCAGTTAAGGTAAACACATATGAGAGACAACGGCAAAAACTCTGCAAGGGATGGATTACTGATAGAATAAAGACGTTTACTTTACGTTTAGCTAGTATGCAGAGAGCAGTTCTTGTGTTAAGGGACATGGTGTGGAAGTCCAGCTATAACAAGATATGCCTGGCAGGCTCCAGTCTCCAGCCTGTGATCATCCGATCCCTTCTGGGCGCCAAGCGCAGTTCCCGAGAGCCCTTGTCGCCTGGAGCGACAAAGGCAGATATGTGGCTAAGTGCCAGGCATCCGGCCTGTAGTGGCGGAGGTTTGCTTTGTCAGGTAGGACTTTTTGCGGGTGAGATGGGTGGTGAGGGGGCAGCCCTGGAGATTGTCTCCATTGAGGCTTTGGGCAACTCACCAGTGGTCTAAGAGTCGGGCGCTGGGGCTTTCGGCATTTCTTCTGCCTCTCCCTCCCTGCCATCTCGATCTTTCTCGGGTTCCGCACCGGGGCTGCAGACCGCTGTGTTATGTCCTTTGTGGCTGATGCCGGTGGGACTTGTGCCTGGGCGTCTCTGCGGCTGATGATTTTGGCCCAAAAATTGCTGAATAGGCGGTCTAGCCGCTCCGACAGTGGAGGCAAGCTGGGCTTGGATGCTGGGAGCCACGTGGTCTCTGCCATGCTGTGTATCGGCGGTCCGGCGGTGTAAGATTGCTGAGCTCTGTTTCGCCGTTCTGATCCCCATGTTCTAGATGCCGGGATATCCCTCACCGGCAGGGGGGGGGGAGAGAGTGTTCCGGGGAGACCTCCTTTATTATAGGCTGCAGTCGGCTGAGGGATCGGCCGTCTCCCCCATGCTTCCTGAGTAGGCCGCAGGTAGGCCTCAGGTCCATCCCCTGGAATCGGTCGCATTTTGTGGTCCCGGGCTTGATTATGTTTTGTCTCGATATTAGACCCCAGTGGCTGGGGTGTAGAAAGCATTGAATTTGCAGGTTTTGCAGCGAATTTGCTTGGTTTTCAGGCTATTTAAACAGGAGCTCTGCTAAGGTGCGACCACTCAGCTTGTCTGTCAAGCTCCGCCCCCAGTAGTATGTTTTTTAATGCATGGTTATTTTTCTGTTAATGAAAATCAGTACAACGAATAACCCCTTTTTTAAACTGTGTTTTGCAAATACATTATTGTTTTGTTGCATAGTAAGTGTATTATTCAAATCAAAATCAGTGTGCAAATGAGTGCAAATATTGCAGATAAAATGTTTTGTCTTTTGATTATCTATTGCTTGTATATTTTCTTTTAATCAGGGTTTGGCATCAGTTTTCATTTCAATGTTAGAGTCTAATGGTATATTTCTGCCCTTATCATATCATTATGGCCTAAGGATTCACAGTTTTTATTATATTCTAGAAATCTAGAAATAATGTTTTATGTCTTTCTTTTAATAAAAAATAAAAAATTTGAGAATGTACTAGTGCAGTATTTTCTGTTTGTTATACTAATTTTTTACGCAATGCAACTTGATCTTTTTGTATATTCTAAAAAATTATAAATTCACATTCCAAGGGTCCTTTAGATGCGGTTTACCAAATATTATAAGAAAGACCGTCAGCAACCAATGTATAGAGATGTCATGGGTTGTGGGTTCTTGGTATTCTCCAAGGATGAATAGTCAAAAGATATGTTTTTTCTTGCAACCAAACACATATTACAAAATTAGTACATCTATTTCCTTGAACATGTGTAGAGTTAGCGGTATAAAACAAAAGCTCACAGGCAGATATCAGAATAATGAATTAGGATATTGACTGAGCTACACAATACCAGTTTCAAAACTCATATGCAAGTGCCTTAATCCAAGAGTGGTGCGAACTTAGTTTTGTTTTGTTTTTTTAACTTGCTTTTAATGATCTGTCTTTATGCTTAGCTGAGCGTTTAACTAGATTCTCCAGTGATCTTTCATGTCCCAAGCATCACCACTGCAAGAAAAACTAATACGTACATTTCAAAAGACAAAATAACAGTTGTGTGAGGGGCAAATAAGGCCGTTTAGGAAGTGTATGAAGAGTAGCATAGTCTAGGGAAAGATAAGTCGGTTGAGGTGTGCCAGAACCGACGTCGCGGCAGGCCTGTAATAAAAGAGGGCCCACCCATGAGGTGTAATGAAAAGTATAGATAGAGGGAGTGGAGGGTGGGGATCTGCGAATCGCTAAGAGCACGTACAGGACGGAGGAAGGTGAGTAGAGGGTTTAAATAGGGTAACATGCCCCTCCCACAACTGCAGGCCAAGCCTTAGCATCTATGAATGTGGCTTCGGAAGGTTGCAAAGCATAGTAACATAGTGTCTATTCCTGAGGATGTGCTTCATACAGGAAATGGTGGCAATGAGTAAGAAAGTCTCATGGCAGCCTAAATCAGATAGGGATGGGATATATAGTTTATACTAGCAGCAAGTCATGTAATGCAGCAACTGACCTTAGTTGTATGTGTGAAGATAGGAAACATCAATGTGATTTCTGGGTATCATTTTAACTTGGCTCTAAAAAGCATCGTGGTCTTTGGTATGTAAAATCTGGAATGGCATGCTATGTGTTGCTGATACAAACGTGTTTCGGTAAAGTAGATAAATTAACTGAACCCAGGCCCGGACTGGCCATCGGGCACAGCGGGCAAATGCCCGGTGGGCCGCGGTGGCCATGGGCCGAGGCCGGCAGGGGAGCTCCCAGGATCTCCCCTGCCGGTCTATGCAGGGCCGGCGCTATCCGAGCGCCGGCCCCGCTGTGTTGCATGAAGGGCCGGTGGGGAGATCAAAGATCATCCTCACCGGCCCACATGCGCTCAAACGCGGCCGCCGGCGGGGAGAGAGGGACCCGGCGGAGCTCTAACTTGCAGCTCCGCCGGGTTTCTCTCGCGAGATCCGGACCGTTGCTATGGCAACCGGCCGGGTCTCGCGAGAGTGAACTCTAGCCCCAAAGGGCTAGAGTTCACTTACCACGAGGACCACCAGGGATGGCTGGCAGGAGCAGGACCCCCCCCCCTTCCAGACTACAGGTAAGAATGGAGGGGGATCTGATGTATTTATTATTATTATTTATTATTAATTATTATTGTTATGTATTATTTATTATTATTATGTATTTCTTATTATTATGTATTTATTATTATTATTATTATGTGTTTATTATTATTTATTATTATGTATTTATTATTATTATTATTTTTTAGTAAAACGTTAATAGTGCCATTTACCTGCCTCCCCCAATACAAAATCCTTGCAAACACACACATCACCCTCACCCAGCACCCTAACATTGACACAGCACCCCAACACACACACACAGCACCCTAACACCAGCACCCTAACATTGACACAGCACCCCAACACACACACAGCACCCTAACACCAGCACCCTAACATTGACACAGCACCCTATCACTCACACAGCACCCTAACATTGACACAGCACCCTAACACCAGCACCCTAACATTGACACAGCACCCTAACACACACACAGCACCCTAACATTGACACAGCACCCTAACACACACACAGCACCCTAACACACACACAGCACCTTAGCACTCACACAGTACCCTAACACCAGCACCCCAACACACACACAGCACCCTAACACACACACAGCACCCTAACACCAGCACCCTAACATTGACACATAACCCTAACACACACACAGCACCCTAACACACACACAGCACCCTAACACCAGCACCCTAACATTGACACATCGCCCTAACACACACACAGCACCGTAGCACTCACACAGCACCCTAACACTCACACAGCACCCTAACACCAGCACCCTAGCACTCACACAGCACCCTAGCACTCACACAGCACCCTAACACCAGCACCCTAACATTGACACATCACCCTAACATTGACACATCACCCTAACACACACACAGCACCCTAACACATACAGCAACCTAGCACACACACACATCACCCCAACACACACACACATGACCCCAACACACACACATCACCCCAACACATACACAGCACCCCAACACACATCACCCTCACACACATCGCCCTCAAATACACAGAACCCTCGCACAGTGCCCTAACACACAGCGCCCTCACACACACATACTGCACCCCCCCACACACACCACCCTCCCACACACACTATACTCCTCACAAATGCACACTACACCCCTCACACACACAGCACCCCCCAAAACACACTGCACCACTCACACACTCACTAGATCTCCTATACGCACTCCTGAGTCCTTCAAACACACACTATATCCCCTACACACAGACGCTGCACCACTTACACACACACAACATTTCTGACATACACACTCAGGATCCCCTATGAACACATTAGATACCCTTTAAGCAAACACATAGTGTCTCCATAAATGGGATACAGTGAGTATTCCATTTATGGAAACCCCTGAGATAAGTTTCAAGCAAACAATGCAAGCATGTTATTAAATTTGCTTGCGCTGTGCAGATCAAATACAAGGCCCTTTTCTCATGTCCTGGAAGAGCATTGAACCAACATGCTCACTTTGAGATGGGGAGTGCTTGTCATTGGGGATGACAAAACACACCCTATCTGGCCCCACCCCCTTTTCATTGGGCCGCTGTAATTAAAAATGCCCGGGCCGAATTTTTTCCCCAGTCCGGCCCTGACTGAACCCCATTATTTTTTGCCTATATAATCTGTGAGATTCAAAATCATTGTTTAGTGAATAAGTGAGTGTGCTGGATTGTGTATTTTATATGCTGTATATATTGGCCCCAGCAGCACCCTATAATGTATGCATGTTAAGTGAGTGCAGCCCTTTTGGTTTCAAGTAAATTATGACGAAACATGGGTGCAGGGCAGAATGATTTGCCAAGTTTAACCCCTTCCCGACCAAGGATGTATTTCATAAATATACACGTATACTTCAAATATATATATATTTAAAATTCTACAGGCATATTTATGTAATATTTTTACATAATTAAGTAATTTTACTGATTGCAATTTAGGGTACCGTCCTGACAACCTAGGCCGAAAGTCCAGAGAATTTCATTTGCTAGCACTATATTTAACCCTGTAACTTTCCAAGACACCATAAAACCTGTATATGGGGGGGTACTGTTTTACTCAAAAGACTTTGCTGAACACAAATATTACTGTTTCAAAACAGTAAAACATATCACAGCGATGATATTGTCAATGAATAAAATAATGGTATGTTTAGAAAGACCATTTAATGGCGAGAAAAACTGTATTTAATATGTGTGGGTACAGTAAATGAGTAAGAGGAAAATTACAGCTGAATATCACAGAAATGTAAAAAGAGCCCTGGTCCTTAACGGTAAGAAAATTGAAAAACGGTCTGGTCACTAAGGGGTTAATGGACGAACCAATGGGTGAGATAGCAAAGATTGATTGCCTATTGATACCAATGGAAGCAGTTTAAAAATATGTAGACGTGTACAGCAACTAACAAAATGGTTACCAATGTTGTGTTGCTGTAGATGTTTTACAGGTGAATTAAATGTGGGATATCCTGGCTGTAAACAAGAATGTCCATTGATAGCCGGGTCAGTTCTGGCAGTAACCAGCAGGATATATCTGGTGTGGAGCATTGGTAGGCTTCTCATATGTGTCTGGCCGACACACCCCTGTAGAGGCTACAACCCCTAACATTCCACTCCAGCACTACTACTTGTTGGGAGGGATGATATTATTTTGAAGATTCTGGAGCATTCAAAGGAAGGGCTAAAAAAAAAACAACAAAAAAAACAAAACAAAAAAATGGATTCATGAAATTTAACCAACCCAAATATTTCATAACTGCATTAAATTATAGCAGTTAAACAGGCTAAGCAGAACTTGAGTTAATGACAAGAGTCATGCTGTAGAGGCGACACACACAAGTATACACACCTTAAAGTGCCTCAGTCACCTCAAACTTACCTTTTTTTTTTTTTAATTCTCTTCTCTTCCTCCTTCCGAATCTGTTCTTCTTTTCTAATATATTTCTCTTTAAAAGAATTGTGACAATGGGGTTGTGTTTGCCTTAAACTCCACCCTTTGTCAAGACGGCAAAATGTAGAAAAATACATAAGACAAACATAATCCCTACATATTTTGAAAGAGAAATGGAAACAATAGAAGAAAAGTGAGTTTGAGATGACAGAGCCACTTTAAATTGGAAGATTGGAACTTAAACCAATATTGTTTTAAGTGGTAATTGCACTGCTGAAGTTACAGAGGGGAATGAAAATTACTCGTATTTAGATAGCGCCAACATATTCTGTAGTGCTGTACAATAGGAAACAAGACAAATATGTAATTCTAAAAAAGCATGCATGACATAAGGGAATAGTAGATGAAGAGGGTCCTGTCTAAACAGGCTTACAATCTGAAGCACAGACATAAGATAAATAGATAAGAATTATAATAGGCTATTAGTTTTATGTTTGACTAAATGCGAGAATTGCCCACAAATGTATACAAGATGAAGAATAAAAATAAAAAATGAAATGTAAAACTTATTGTTTATTGTTATTTTAAAAAAATAAAGGAGAATGTATCTTTAAATATCACACTGTGAGAAGAAAAGGTAGTATCGTGCAAAAAATAAATAAATATATATATAAATTGATAGACCCTCTAGAAAAAGAAAAGAGAGAGAAAAAATAACAATAATATATATATATATATATATATATATATATATATATATGTTCTGTTATATATAAGGCAGACCGTGGAGTGCAGCCTTCATTTTGAAATTTCTATGTTAACCAGCCAGCAGGCTTTGGCACCTGGCATTTACCAAGACAGCGTGAGTGCAAGGAAATCCTTGCACTCACGCTGTCTTGGTAAATGCCAGGTGCCAAAGCCTGCTGGCTGGTTAACATAGAAATTTCAAAATGAAGGCTGCACTCCACGGTCTTCCTTAAAAATCCAAAAGTCTTTATTGGGTATACATTAAAAAATTATCGACGTTTCAGCCCCACATTGGGCTTTCTTCAGGATCAAAAAAAATGAATGTATCTTTAAATATCACACTGTGAGAAGAAAAGGTACTATTGTGCAAAAAATACATACAAATCGATAGACCCTTGATGTAGCATAGTAAATGACAGAAATACCTGGTTGAACTAGAATGTCAGGAGAGGAAAACATATATTTGAAAGTCCATCTGGTATTAAAGGACCACTATAGTGCCAGGAAAACATACTCATTTTCCTGGCACTATAGTGCCCTGAGGGTGCCCCCACCCTCAGGGACCCCCTCCCGCCCGACTCTGGAAAGGGGTTAAAACTTCCCTTTTTCCAGCGCTGGGCGGGGAGCTCTCCTCCTCCGATCCTCCTCCGTTCCTCCTCCTGGGCTGAATGCGCACGCGCGGCAAGAGCTGTGCGCGCATTCAGCCCGTCGCATAGGAAAGCATTTACAATGCTTTCCTATGGATGCTTGCGTGCTCTCACTGTGAGAAGCACGCAAGCGCCTCTAGTGGCTGTCAATGAGACAGCCACTAGAGGATTAGGGGGAAGGCTTAACCCATTCATAAACACAGCAGTTTCTCTGAAACTGCTATGTTTATGAAAAAATGGGTTAACCCTAGCTGGACCTGGCACCCAGACCACTTCATTAAGCTGAAGTGGTCTGGGTGCCTAGAGTGGTCCTTTAATCTAAATACTATGGAGCTCACGAGGTGTATCTTGTTAATTATAGCTGTAGTTCTGAACTGTGCCTTCGTGGGCACCTATAATACGTAGCAGGTAGTGGCTGACCGGCTTATATATCTAGCGGTCTAGGAGTCCTATGCTGTACCTTCAAGGGCACCTGTATGCAATTCTTTGATCAGATTTAATACCTTGAGATAAAGTAGTTCCTAGTTAAATAGAGTGATAATCAGGTAATATACATATATTACGCGCTAATGGCAAAGTGCAGTCGAGGGGGAGTTTTCGATATAAAGCAAGCCGACAAGTAAGAGCTCTGAGCCAAGCCCCGACACGCATTTCGTCAGGCAAACTTTTGTTGGGACACATTTCTGACAACCCCGTGCCTCATAAATGTTTCTCCATGATCATAGCAGCGGTGGGCCGCAAAACCATTCTTCAGGTCTGGAACCAACCGTGTACTCCACTACTCGATTTATTCTTAAACAAAGTCAAATTGCATTTTAACATTTATTGGCTTTATAACCTGTTATGGTTGCCTCCAGGCTGGCTGGAAGTTGGACTGTAGAAAGGATGCTCCTAGCGCTCACCAGAGGACCATCAGCACCGTAGACACCATAACTACTGCATAGACACCATAAGTACTGCAGACTCCATGAACCGCCGCTGCTGGGCTAGGATCTCGCCATCTGCTATCCACCCTGGACTTACGACCAGGCTCCAGGTTCCAGTAGGTGAACCTCTTCCTTCTGTAGAGCGAAGCAGGATCAGGAACAAGAGCTCTTACAAGAGCTCGGTAACTAAGGTAGTATGAAGAGCACAGCAATCCCTGTAGTGATTATAGCTGTCCCCTACAAACATGAGTCAAGGTTGCAAGTTAGAGGGTCAAGTCATTCTGTTTATTGGCACCAAAGGAACCTTCTTTTATGCAGGTTTTCCTTAGATAGGACCACCCACAGGGTTTTACAAAACAGCCAATCATACACGTATATTACAGAAACACTCCCAGCAATTACATACAAAAATCCTCCCCTCTGCCTGTGATATAATTATGTTACACAATGGTTTAATATAATTAACACAGGCAGTAAAAATACAGTTTTTACACATATCCTGTAACTTTAAAACCACACATCCAATCTCCATAAAAATGACATATTTAGAATCAGCAACCTTCAAATATATACATAACCAAAAATCAGCCAAATCCATCCAGGGGTTAAAAAGTTAGCTGGAGGTCTCTTTATGACCGACCGCAAGCACATTTTCCTGCCCAAAACAGTTCCATAGATTTGGGCTGTGCGGTCGTTCTATTTCAGGCTGAAAAAACAACTAAGTCCCATCGCAAAATCATTGTGGGAGAAGGTAGGGCTCAGCGGTGTTCACGGAAATGTGTAGCCGATTTTAGTTCCATGAATTTTGGCTACACATACCGCTGACCTCGTGTTCGGCAAACGAACGAAGGCCACCCAGCATTGTCAATTAAGCTGCGGTTAACCGCAGCTTCTGGGAGGTAAATTGCCGACACACTCCCAATACAGGTGGTCTGCCTGTGTGGTACTTGGTTCAGTAAGCCCCATTTACTGAACCAAGTGGGAAATAGCTAGGAACAAAGGGTTTCAAACCAGGTCTGGGGACACTGGGGACACCATCTTAAAGGGGCAGTGTCCCAAACACGTCAGGGGACACCGTCTTAAAGGGGCAGTGTCCCAATTTTCCCTATGCCCCAAAAAGGTGCTTAAAGGGCTATCACCAGTCCCATAAAAAGTCCATAAGCCCCAATATGCCCACTGACTGTCTTAAAGGGCCATACACACCCAATAAAAGTCCATAAGTTTTCACAATCTCCCAGGGGCCATAGTCATGCGGAAGGAGGCTGGCAAATAGGCTTCTCCACAACCCAGGGAAGCAGGGCAATTTGTCATTTAAAGGGCCTGTTACAAATGACAGTTTGTAACATAACTTAACAACAAGGAAATCTTGGCCAAAAAATTCTTCCTCACATGGAACCGGTATATTCACAACCTGGATACTTCCCTTTCAGTCTAAAATAAAAGCATCGCTGGAGTACGCAGCTTGGTTCTCGGCCGAGATGGTGGTGGGGCAAGATTCTTTGGGTACTCAATCCAATGCTACTCTACCATAACTTTGTTTGTGGTTGTCTTGGGGCGGTGGGTGGGGTTCAATGGACCGGTGCTTGCATATAGTTATCGACTTCGAAAAATTCCAGGTTAAACCTAGATTGATTTTGCACTAGAGCTAAGCTGGGTCTATCCAAAGTCTATGGGCCATATCTCAATAATAAGTGCCCAATCTATTTCCCAGCACAGGAAATTGTAACTCATCCTTTGGATAGCATGTATCTGGTCATAATTTACAAGGCATTCCTACTTTCATAATGGCTGGCAAATTAAATTCACCATTCCAGAGCTGTGTAGACATCCTTTTTCTCATGATTGATTTTTTAATTAATAAAATTTGACCAAAATTTAATGCAGATGTTGCTTTTGCTAGCGAAGGT